ACCTTTCACCCTTGTTCTATATTGCAGCATCTAGGACATTTTCCTTCTAGATGCCATCCATCCGGACAAAAATAATCCACATTTAAAATTCATAATTTTAAATACACAATTTAAAAATCATCTAGGCAAGCCTGCAAGAAGAGAATGGTCTTTAATATTGTTTTAAATTCAGACAGCATATTCAGTTGCTGAATCTCTTCTGATAGGTCATACCACAGTCTAGGGGTGGCTGAAAAAAACTTTTTTTTGGCTGACAGTTGCCAACCTATTCTTCGCTGACTGGAGTAAATGTCTACTAGAGGACTTGAGTGTATAGTTCAGATTATATAGGAGGAGGCAATCCTGTAGATATCCTTGATCCAAACCATGTAGGTCTTTAAAGGTAGTAACCAACACTTTGTACCTTACCTGAAACTGATTGGCAGCCAGTGGAGTGATTTTAATACTAGTGTAATGTGATCACTCCTGGACATCCCAGTAATCAATCTGGCTGCCATGTTCTGAATCAGTTGAAGTTTCCAAACTTGGTACAGAGGTAGCCAAATGCACATTTCAGAAGTCCAGTCTTGAGGTGACCAGTTTATGTCCTACCATCTTTAGGTCCTCCTGCTTTAGGTAGTGGCACAGCTAGCATATCAGCCAAAGTGGATAGTAAGCATTCCTGGCAGTCACATCTATATGAGCTGTCATTTGGAGAGACGGATTCAGAAGTATCCCCAAGCTGTTAATACAGTCTTACTATATGGTTTTGGGAGCTGTGAATAAGGAAAGAATTCAGAGATTTCTTCTTTAATTCATTTTGTTATGTAATAAATCTTTACTTATTTGATTTCTCCAATTGAGTCTGACTGTTCTATTGAAGAACTGATAAGGGGACCGGTCATGTTTACCACACTGAGCTCTCTGATCAACACAGTCATGTCCATAATACAAATCATCGGAATAATCAGCAGGCTGTCTCACCATGCTAAGAGATTTGGGATTTGGGATAATGCTTTTATTGTAAATTCTTTTTCAATTTTAATGTTGTAAGCCACCCCGATTGCTCTGCTGAGGGGCGGAATATAAATAAATATTATTATTATTATTAGGGACTGTATTGATAAAAAGGAAAATAAAAGGAGGAACAGAGAGAAGGAAGGAAGGAAGGAGAATAGTAGGATTAAGAGAAAGGAATTTCATCTACTATGAGATTTGTTTTTCAGCCTTATCCCCCAAAGTCAAGATGGTGTAGTGGTTTGGGTGTTTGATTTGGACTCAAGGAGACCATGATTCAAATTCCTGCTTGGGCAAGTAAACCCACTCAGTGACCTTGGGCTAAACCATACTCTCTCATTATAAGTGGAAGACGATGGCAAACTTCCTCTCAATACATCTTGCCAAGAAAATCCCATGATAGGCTCGCTTTAAGGTTTCTATAAGTTGGAAGTGGCTTGAAGGCACAAGACATCTCCAAAAGAGTTTTGATGTCTTGGATATCTCCTTTAAACTTTGGACAAAAATCTAGAGTGGAATCATTAACATGATTAACATTAACATGATCATCGAACATGGTAGTCACCAGCCACCATATGTTGCTTTCCCTTCTGTCCTCGCTTTTCAATGCTGGGTGGATTCTCTTTTCCTAAACAGATTTAAAGTGATCTCTCCCATGTGTGTTTGTTGATAATAGAATCTTTCAATGCTCTTTGAACAACACAAAGCTTACTCCCCTCCCACGTTTTAATAAATGGTATTTTATTGTTTGTAAGGTGAGGGAAATAATTGTAAACAATGTTTTAAAAAGGAATTTTAAAGAATCCCTTCATGTCGGAGTAAGTGGATGGTATAGTGTATATTGAGGAGAAAGACATTTCCAGTATTTTCTTCAGATTCAATTTTCTTTTGAAAGTATAGCTTTTGATCTGATCAGAAAAACATAAAGAGGTTAGAAAAGAAATAGTACCATCTGTATTAATGTCTTTACTCCTTTGTGTATTTGGAGAGAGAGAGAGAGAGAGAGAAATGGAATGAAATGTTACTTTTGACTTCAAGTCAACACTGTTTGTCTCAGCAACTAAGAAGAAAGGTATCACCCAACTCACTTTCAAAGGACCTGTAATCTGAGACATTGGTTGCATCTATCCTACAGGATTTAATGGAGTTCGCGCTGATTTAACTGCCATGGCTTCATGCTAAGAAAATCTGGGATTTGTAGTTGTGAGAGATATTTAGCCTTCTCTGTTAGACAACTCTGGTGCCATGATAAACTACAAATACCAAGATTCCATAGGATAAAGCCATGACAGTCAAAGTGGTGTCAAACTGCATTAATGATGCAGTGTGGCAGCAGCCTCAGTGAGTCTGAAATCCATCTCCATTTTGTTGGTTGCTCTAATTTCCTGGTTCTCAGGCTCATATCTTGGACTCCCCTTGCCTCCCATATTTGTCCATTCCTGCTCAGAGAGCTGGTCAGAATGCTAAACTAGTAGGGTGACTAGATATCCTCTTTTTTCAGGGCACGTCCTACATTTCAGGACATGTCCTACATTTCAGCCTTCTGTCCAGAAAAAATTCAATGTGTCCTCCATTTTGAGCATGGCTAAGAAGTATGAATTTACATGTATATTAGCGTTTTTAGTTTGTAGTGTCCTACATTTATCTTGAATGACAACATTTTGCATAAAGGAGCCTTGTCTTCCTTTGTGGCTATGGCAACTCCTTTAATTAATGTCAATTCAGGGAAAGGGTAAAATAAGCAGTGAGTGATTCATCCAGATCTGGCACCTTCACAGTAATCCCTCCCTGTAGTAGCCATACCAGAAGCAACTGCAGCTAGCTGGACAAGCAGGTATACTGAACAGCTCCAGGAACCTTCGATGGGCCAGGCAAACCCCATAAGTGGACTGGTAGCAGGCTTTCTCCCATCTCCTCCTCCCTGTCAACAGTAGGCATTATTCCTGGGGAGGAAATCAGTGGGAGGGTATGGGAGATCAGCCTGTCCCATACCCTCAAACTGTCCTGATTTGGCAGGGACAGTTCTGATTAATCATCTGTCTTCCCATCTTTCCATATGCTATTAAAATGTCCCAGTTTCTTTCTCTTCCTACATTTGTCCTCAGCTTATTTCAAGTGCTGAAAAGTGAGTTCAAAGTGGCAACATGGTTTAACGCAAAGATGTGGAGAAGAAATAAGTGCAGAATAGAGAAAGGGCAGAATCATGCCCTTTCCTCTAGACTCAGGGAAAAACAAATCGCTGTAACCTTTACTAACTTGTGTGACCTTCCTCATTAATACCTTTTGCCATCTTGACTACACTTTAATGTTGCTTGGCCACACATGCCACAGTTTACATTAGTGAAATTTTAGTTGGTATGAATTATTTCAAACTTCAGTTTTTTTAAAAAAACCAAATCTATCCCCTATCATACTTCTTCCCAAATACCTCTATCATCCTCTGCTCCAAAGCTTACATCTTACTTTTCTCTCCTGGTTCCTCAGCTGCCGAATTAAACTCTTTCTCTCCAAGGAATCTTCTGTGACTGTTTTATATCTATTCACAGCAGCAGAAAGGAGACAAATACATTTTCATCTCCACTGAGAGTGTTCTTCCTCTCCAACGCTCTTTCCTTTCTCCTTTTGTTTGTGTTTTGATTGAACTTACTAACTACAAAAATGCAGGAGTTTCTCTCTGGACCCATTTATTGAAACATCACAGAAGGATATGTGTTTTGATCCATGTGTTGGCTTTAAAAAAAAACAACAACCTTGCTAAACACTTCTATTTTAGGTTCTCCTAATGTCCCTAAACCAAAGCAAATGAATGGAATGATTAGCTATGAAAATTAATGCAGCCGTCTGTGAGTGCTAATCTCACAGCTGCAGGGGCAGGGTAGAAATGTGTGTGGTTGAGGAATTTCTGGGAACATGTGTGACTCCCCCCCCCCATTTTTTTGACACAAACCAAAGCCCATGTTTCTCCATACAGATGAAGGTCCACAGTATGGAGGGTGCAGGGGTATTGGGAATGGCATTGTTATTATGAGCCTTCACTCTGACTTGTTGGAACCCTATCCTAGGGTTTTCTTGGCAAGATTTACAGTTGCCATAAATCAGAGATAACTTGAAGACATATCACAACGAATACACACAAAGATAAAAGCCTTGTCTACATAGGCCAAATACAATGGCATCTCCCTGATTCCTTGGCAGGGAGAATGGATGACTCACAACCCAAAGCATGGTCCTAGTGCAAGCAGACTGGACGATATACAGCCTACTCAACATCAGAACAGGATTTAGGAAGGAAGAAGGAAGTTTAAAATAAGAGAATTAATGTAGGATGAGAGGAATGAGAGGGAAGGGAGTAAACGAAGGGAGAAAGTAAGTTGTAGATGGTATGTGTATGTTGGAAAAGCAGCGTGAGAAGTAAAGGACTGTAAGGTGAGGAGGATGTGGAACAGAGATTAAATGATTAAATGAAGATGGAGGGTGGAAACGTAGAGTGCGGAGGGGAAGAGGGAAGAGAGATAAGGAGTGAGAGAAGTAGAGAAGTAGGCGAGAGATAAAGGGTGAAAGAAAGGATGATTGGAATTAAGAAAGGAAAAGAAAAGAAAACTTCCCACAAGGTACTTTTAGTAATTTAGAGTAATTTAAAAGTTTTGAGGCATTATAATTTATTGATGTTATTTCAATTGTTTTGATGAATAATAATTGTTATCAATCAGTAGATAATAGATATTGGATTGGATTTATGGAGTTTTTTTGGATTAGGATAAGGATTTGATTGTATTTGGAATGGTTGATTACGTGAGTGCATTTTTATGTTTTAATAATATTTTTTTAAAAAAAACAAAACAGGATTTTACCTCTCTTACCCAATATTTAATAAAATCTGTCTTTGCTCCAGATTTTCCTTAAAGATCTAGTGCCCTCCATCCTAATGCCAGGGGGGTGTTTGAAATGAAACCTGCTGAAGCGTCTGGCACATCTACCACTGCTGTCAGTCACTTGCTTTGAGGTCAGCTGTGTGGCCATCACTGGGTACCTTATTCCAACCTCATAGTAAAGTGACCCATAGAGGTGGCAGACACACTGGGCTGCTCAAAGGGTTACACATGTGGTCAGCCACATCATGTCAAAATTTGAGACAGAGTTTTATTATTATAGCCACTATTTTTTATTTTAAAAAATTCAGAGAATAAAGGAGATATATAAATATGGGATAGCAGAACTGCAAGTCTTACTTCACATACTTGTCAGTATGGACATAGTATAGATGTCAAGACAACCTCAATGTGCATGTGTGTGCATGTGTGTGTGTAGTAATTCCAAAATATCTCAACAAAAAGACAATAGTAACACCTTATATAGACAGAGACAAAGAATTTTAATACTATTTTTTTCTTATCTTGCTCCTGGTAACCTAGAAGAAATTTAACTTGATAATTCAGGCAATTGTTTTAGATTTTTAATAATAATAATAATAATAATAATAATAATAATAATAATTTCTTTCTATCCCACCCCTCTGCAGAAGCAATCAAGGTGACTTACAACAATAAAATACCACAATGTACAATCCCAAAGCTCACCTACCCCTTAAAATAGTATTAAACATCACAAAAATTTAAGCAATAAATGAACAGTGAACAATTAACAAGTAAAAGAATCATAATAGCAGGCAGACCACCAGCAATAAATGTGGCAGTGGGTAGGGGGAAGGAATAAACTTGCTCCTTAGGCTGGGAAAACTAGTCAGGAAAGGCCTGCCGGAAGAGATCCATCTTCACAGCTTTTTAAAAACTGTTTAAAATGGTAATCTGATGGATCTCATCCAGCAGGCTATTCCATAATCTGGGAGCAGTTGCTGAAAAGGCTCTCTGGGAGGTTGCAGACAGCCTAGTGTTAACAGGCTGAAGCAAATTCCTCCCAGAGGACTGGAGTGTGCAGGTTGGGTTATATGGAATGAGGCGGTCCTGAAGATAGGTTGGGCCCAAGCCATTTAGGGCTTCAAAGGTGATGATCAACACCTTGTACTGAGCATGGAAACTAATCGGCAGCCAGTTTTTAGGCCAGGTGATATATGGTCTCTCCTAGATGTACCAGAGACCAGCCTGACTGCCATATTCTGAACTAATTGAAGTTTCCAGACTAAGCATGAGGGTAGCCCCATGTAGAACACATTACAGAAATCCAGGTGAGAAGTTACCAGCGTGTGTACCACAGTTTCAATATCCCTTACTTCCAGGAAAGGGCACAACTGGCGAATCAGCCGAAGCTGATAGCAGGCACTCCTGACAGTCACATTTAC